ATAGGAACAATAGGAGTAACAACCACTGTCCCGTATGATGTACCTCCTTCTACGATCCCTATACATGTATGTTGTGAAGTGTTGCTCAACAACGGAACCAAGTGCCTTATCGCCTGGGCCGCAAAGGCAAAGGCCGGGTAATAATTTATGCACTCAATTTGGTTAAACAGTTAATATTGTATCCTCAACAACAAGTGATAGTAGTCTATTCTTCTCCCATAAATCAAACTTATTCCCTTCCCTTCTCTAATTCTGTCCGATCAAATTTCACACACGACCCTGCGTTAACTTCAACTTATCTGTGCCACACATTCGCCAACTTTCATAGTTTATTGCCTGAATACCTGGTTCTGTAATACAGTCGTGAATAACTTTAAATACTAAAAATTGTCTAATGGTTAATATTTATCATTTTAACCCTTTCGCTGCATAAGGGTTATTTATTTATTTATTGATAACCTATTTGCCAGAAGTTTTTTTAATAAAATTACTATATTATTAATTATTATTATTATTATTATTATTTGTTATTAGTATTATAATTATTATATATGTTTTGAATTTCAAGTCTGCTAGTATAATAATAATTATTATCGATGGTATGAATATCTATATATTTGTATGATTATTATAATTATAATTATTATAATTATTATAGAAACGGCAACAGCCGTCCATATGGCAAATACGCCGACAATAATAGGGACGGCATACTTGGGTTAATTTGAACCATAAGCATTTTTACTAATATTAAGTTAATACCAAATAAAAGTAAATGCATTTTAAGTGTGTTAAAAATGTCAAAAACAATGAGTAAATATCGCTGCATACGCTTCTATTGTTGATAAATGAAATAAATATAAATATAATATAAAATAGATATGATATAATATAAAATAACACAATAACATACGTTTTGATCTGACGTGAAATAATAGTGACATATAATAAACAACGCCGTTATCAATAGATTTTGCTACGGAAAATATGGCAAATTTTAAAATCTGAAAAAAGCAATTCTTATTGCTCAGCTAATAAATGATGCAAAAACACTTTCGTACATATCGAACATGAGCTCCGCTGGGGCGGCGCAATATGTACCCGATGACAAACTTACATGAGAGTATCATGGTTAAGGTATGCCTCACAGAATGATAAGATTTATAGAACAATATCGCGTTATCATCAAATGTAATAGAAAAAAAATAACAGTCTATTTTTTTCCTTTTTGGGGCTATTTTTCCTTCTTTTTATTTTAATTCGTAGGTCTAGTAACACTTGCTTGTTTGTTCAAGTATAAATAATTTCCATCAATAAAGTTAAGAAAATATAAGTCAATCAACTGACATTGACGGTCAAGATCATTTAAAGGTCAAGATTATATCAAAATGGTTTAAAGTGTCCGTTTGGTCCATCAAATCCATACATAAGCTTGTCCAAAGGGTTGTTTTGTCGAAGTATGAAAGTAGTCCATTTATTTATTACCAAATAACAGTCAAGTATAGCAAACATCAGTGAAAATTTAATATTCTAACCTACAAGGTCAAACTCATAAATCAGCCAAGGTCAATTGCGTGTAATATACATAAACTAGAAATGTGTCCATAGGACACGGGTGCCCCCACCGCGCCACTGTTCTGTCAATCTTTTTACTAAGTCAAGGGAAATAACTCTACAAATATTTGATAAATCCACAAGCGAAACCCCAGGTGCAAATGTAAAATATGCTGAGCAACCTGCCCATAAGGTTTAATGACTATGTCAAATCCAAGTTGAAAATTGCAAAAATTCTAAGTGAAGGGCAATAACTCTAAAAATACTAAATAAATCCAGACGAAAATACCTGGTGCACAACTGCACATGCTGATCAATATTTCTGTAAAGTTACATGACTCTAGGTCAAATACTTTTTGAGTTACGTGCGACACATGTTGAAAATTGCCAAATTTTACTAAGTCAAGGGCAATAACTCTGAAAATACTAAAAATATCCACATGAAAATACCCAGGTGCACAACTACATATGCTGATCAACATTCCTGTAAAGTTTCATGACTCTAGGTAAAATTCTTTTCGAGTTACGTGCGACACAAGTTGAAAATTGCAAAATTTTACTAAGTCAAGGGCAATAACTCTGAAAATACTAAAAATATCCAGACTAAAATACCCATGTGCACAACTACACATGCTGATCAACATTCCTGTAAAGTTTCATGACTCTATGTCAAATATTTTTTGAGTTACATGCGACACAAGGCTGAAAATTGCAAAATTTTACTAAGTCAAGGGCAATAACTCTGAAAATACTAAAAATATCCAGACTAAAATACCCATGTGCACAACTACACATGCTGATCAACATTCCTGTAAAGTTTCATGACTCTAGGTCAAATATTTTTTGAGTTACATGCGACACAAGGCTGAAAATTGCAAAATTTTACTAAGTCAAGGGCAATCACTCTGAAAATACTTAAAATATCCAGACGAAAATACCCAGGTGCACAACTACACATGCTGATCAACATTCCTGTAAAGTTTCATGACTCTAGGTCAAAAACTTTTTGAGTTACATGCGACACAAGTTGAAAATTGCAAAATTTCCTAAGTCAAGGGCAATTACTCTAAAAATACTAAAAATATCTAGATGAAAATACCCAGGTGCACAACTACACATGCTGATCAACATTCCTGTAAAGTTTCATGACTCTAGGTCAAAAACTTTTTGAGTTACATGCGACACAAGTTGAAAATTGCAAAATTTCCTAAGTCAAGGGCAATAACTCTAAAAATACTAAAAATATCTAGATGAAAATACCCAGGTGCACAACTACACATGCTGATCAACATTCCTGTAAAGTTTCATGACTCTAGGTCAAATACTTTTTGAGTTACATGCGACACAAAAGTGAACGGACGGACGGACGGAAGGACGGACGAACAGACGGACGGACGGACGGACAAGGGTAAATCTAAATGCCCGCCACTAACGTTGGGGCACAAAAACACGAATTATCCTTATATGAAGTCAATTTATTCATTAATACCAAAGCAATAGCCAGTTCTCTCAGTTATGCTATGTCATTTATGAGTGAAGGTCAGAGTTTGTCTAGTTAACTTGACGGTATATACTAAAAGATTGATGTGTTCCATTGATGCGAACCATTCCATTGAGAAAAAGTAAATAATAGTTAAATTGAGCAAAATTGAGACATTAAACTTAAGAGGTTAAAAGCAATTTTTAATGAAGGTCAAGTTTATTCTGTTGTACTTGAAGGTTTTGTCAAAGGGTTCTCGCGTTCCACAATTCCCCATTTTTCTTCGGAAAAAAATTATGCTAAAAATAAACTTTCAATTACCGAACAGAACCAATCTTAACATGTTTTAAGTTTGTTATCCTTATGATACTAAATGACCTCCAGAGTGGGAACATGCTTGTTGTTTAACCCAAGGTGCATGATTCACAACATTTTTATGGAAATCTACTAGACAATGTTATTTGCAAAATACAGAAGCTCCAAGATTTCACAAAAAGATGAATTTTTTGTTAATGATATTATTTGCGCTATTTACCAACAAAAAGCAAGTGACTCCCGCGGTAGAGCCAATTTTGACTTTAGGGTCATTATTAATTTAACTTTTAAGACAACTACAAATAGATGTTGCTTGTCAAATATATAAATTCGGGGCTTTATAGTTTCACAAAATAAGACTTAAATGTGTTAGTCTATAATCTATAGTCAATATTAATTAATTGACCCAAGGGCAGACCAATATTGACCCATGGAGAATGCGTAATTGCAGTTATGTCGTGGATCTTAGGTGATGTAACGAGGCAAATATCTAAGTTCTGAGCAAAGTGATTTAACCAATATTGAACCCAGGAGCATTATTCATATCAGTTTTGTAAAGGTCATTTAGGCAATGCAACATGCTTAAAATACATAGATGTATTTTCTCTAGACATTACAGTTTCACACAATGAGACTTGTTTTCCTATATGTCATTATCAGTGATATTTCTACCAAATATTTTTAATTTATTTCTATCGGTTTAAAATATACAGAGTAGGAAAGAAATTTCGAATAAAAAATAACGAAATATGACATTGACATTGACAAAGAAGTTCAATCTATTGCTCTTCTCGTCTTATTATTTATTTTTATTTTTTTTACCAAGTAGTTTTAATTTATTTTTATCTGTTAGAAAGGAACAGTTCTGACCCTTGTAAGTTCGGGGAACAAGGTTTTTACATATTGGAATATAAATATAGAGATCACCCATTATCCATGTGTGAGGCCAAATCAAACCATTGAGATATAATTTTAACAAACTTGATAAAGATAAACAAGATGATAATTTTTATGCCAAATATTTTAGATATTGCTTTCGTGGTTTTAAAGAAGAATACTTTCAGCATGGAATTGAATTTTAACACCTTTTGTAAAGTTAAATGCAAGGAATAATCGTGCTTAAGATTAGGTTTGAACAGAATTGGCCAAATTGTTGAGGAGTGAAGTTGTTCGAGACAAAAGTTGACGACGCACGACGGACATAACCCGGTCACAATAGCTCACATTGAGCACGTTTTGTAACGGTAAGATTTTCATAAATAAGGGTAATAAATCAAATAATAACGAGTTTATTGGAGCCACAATTGAACTTTACATGAGAAAAGTTTTGAAACGACAAACTTATATGCCAAACATAAACACAGACACTGAAATATTTTAGAACTGAGACCGTTGCAAATAACATTTTTACTGAAAATGCCTTAAAACTATCCAAGCTCTAGTCTTCAAAGTTGCAAAAGAGATGACTTTTAAGACTTTACTAAACTTACATAAGAAAAGTCCATTATCCCCTTGGACGGGCCAATTTTGACTATTATTTGAAAAAGTAGAGGCCACTTTAAAAAACTCTAACCATTAAGGCTTCGTAAAAGATGACTTTTAAAAAAATTACAATTAATACTGTTAGACACCCATGACTCCCTTAAGCAGGGCAAATTCTGATAAAACAAGGAAGAGATATCGTTTCATGCAACGTAAGTTTTAACCTTTCACCGCTTCGGAGGAAATGATATTTAAATGATTTTCTTTCGGCGGCTATGACAATCATATTTTGCAATGAATGATTTTTTAACATTTTTTAAAGAATATCACTCAATGATCATTCCAAAAATGTTTTGATATTATTGTCCATATCGTTTAGGAGGAGATGTTGTTTAAAGAAGTGCAAACTGACGGTTACCGGACCGTGTGTGATGCAACAGCTAACCTAGACAACGTTGTGCTCTATAAGAGCTTAAAATGGTGAATATTCAACATAATTCACTTTATAAGAAGGAGTACTAAATACAAGAGAATACATGAATAATAAAAGTTGATACCCGAAATCGCCGTTGTCATCAGGGAAACTTGCCGTTTTCGGTTGTCTGTCTGTGACTCTGAACAAAGCCACATCCATTCCACAGGTATTGCTTGAGCGCTGTTTTGCGAATTAGTTGAACAACGTTTCCTAATACAGACTTGTTATCAGCAGGCTGATAAACATTTTTTACCATACCATGCAATGGCCATTTCATCATACCATATGTTTCCAAATGTAGCAGCTCCAATGGATTTAAAAGAACATGTGCACATGTAAGCCCACAAACTCCGTATTGAGGATGATCTATAAAACAGCCCAGGGTGCCGCTAGAACAATCTCCACCTATTTGACACCCCATCCTAACAGGATTTAGCTTTTCTCTGGCAGTATGTCCGTACGGTATAAAGACACCTTCTCTAACATCAACTGGAATACTGTCATAACTTGCTTCAAATGGTTCTTCATCAATTGGAATATAATTCTTTTTTTGTACATAAAGAACGATACACTTTTCAGGCAACAATTCCCATGAAGCGCCAAACCCTTTTGATCTTTTTGAACATGCAGATATAATTGACAGATACTTGTGCTTCTTCATCAAATCTTCAGAGTGTTTTGAAATGCAGGTCTGAAGATTTTCATAGGATTCTTCATCTAATTTCGCAGCATGTGAAGCCTGTTGCTTAATTACCTCAGAGCCTTCTAAGCTAAAATCGCCAGCGTATTGTTTGACAAATGAATATTGGATCAATTTCTCTAAACGTACAGACTCTTTACTTTTGGTACCTTCTGATTTTTGCTTCACAGTTATAACAAATGTTATTCTTTGCGGGTTTTCAATTGTATACGCAGCCCAAACATGTGCAATAGCGACATGTTTTGATTTGATATATTCACAAATTGCCTTGCATGTGACGATAATCGCTTTGGATTTCCTCCCAAAAATCTGACACATCTCATCAAGTATTCTTTGTCTTGGCAGCCTCCCTGATTTAATTAATGTTTTAATGTTTTTTACTTTCCCCAAACAGAGAAAAGGATCTAACTTTTCATCGTCTTCACCTAGAAAATGTTAAAAAGTGTAATGCTTGCAGAAATTGATAATTTACCAATAAGGAAGAATAGAAAAAAGTATTTTTTTCTGTTTGGTATTGACATATTATTAATGACATAAGGAATGAAAATTGATTAATTAAATTGAAGAGTAACAACTCTTGTTCTGTAAGATTGATCAGTTTTACAAAAATAATAAAAGGTCATTAAATGTTATTTGATAGATAGGAAGATTCCGGTTTATAGTTATTTGCAAGTATTATGACATTTATATAAAGAATTGCTATTTTGTGGACCCGGTTAGAACATAATAAAATTTGAATACCTTTAAGATGAGGTGTATCATATACAAACCCCTCCTGATCGCAGTTGTGTCATTCTTGCTTTTTGTGCATTACTCCAATTATTGCTCTTTTAAATTTAAACCTTGTGACACTATCATTTAAATAGTCAAAAAGGAACCCATGGAAGTATTAAATTAAAAGCACCTTTGTTGAGTATGTTGATTTCACGGAAGGACATATGCATATAAATAGTTGGTTTTCAGTTTATCATAAAACTAAAAACTATACAACTGCATGCATTGTTCAATACATGCATTTATGATGCAAAATATACTTCTTTGTGTTTTTTTTCTTCGTAAATTCAACATTCATTTAAATCTTTTGTTCTTTGATTTAAATTTTGATAACTATTTCTTAAATAACTTTTGGACGTATTGATGTAAAACGTAACAATGATTTCTTTGAAATAGGTTCCCACTTGCCACTTACAAATGCCATTGTGATAAAAGGTTCATTTGCTTAGTCATTGTTTAAACTACACTTATAAATCGGAGAAGCCCTACCTCGATCGCTAAGATAAATACATTAGATTTTGTAAAATAACTTGTTTGGAAGGAGATGTATAAGAGATGACATAGGAGGCTTTGGTATAAAAATGAGTGTATTTGCCTTTTGGTTAAATGTCGATGAGCTGTTATTGTCTCAATTAATCAGTTTTATCAAAAATGTTCTTGGAATATTTTGCATCACTTGTTATTAAATAAATATGATTGGCCTTTATACCATATGAAAAAGAAATTAATAATATGATTTTTCAGTTGCGAAATAATTTATTCTTTAATTCAATTATTGGTAAACTATAATATTTTTATATTTTTAGTTCTATCCTCAAAATACACCTATCATGATTAAAAAACTTATAGTGTGGTGGCTGTTTGTTTGTTTTTTGTTTGTTTTTTTCATTTTACGCCTTTTCCCAACAGTCATATAGGCAGGTAGTTTCCTAATCATCGTTCCCGGAGAGTTATACAAGTACTAGACTACCTTCCTCCGCGCTAAACTACCAAAGCATCTCCTTGGGATCGAACCCATACAGTATGGTGGCTGATTTGTGCCATTCGGTTTTCGCCTAGCGACCCCCAAGCAAAAAGTCGAGAAATAACAAGTTAAAATGGCAGCGGCGTGGAGCGAAAAGTCGCTAGTAACGAGGGCGCAGGCGAAGTTTAATAAATATAACGGTGGGAACGCGGAGCGAAAACACGCTTATTAGCGCCCTCGCTAAATAGCGTGTTTTCGCTCTGCAATCCGCCATTTTACTTTGTTAATTGTCGACTTTTAACTTGGCGGGATTGCGGGGCAAAAACACGCTACTAAGCGGGGCGCGAGGCGAAATTTTATTATTAAACTTCGTCCCGCGCCCTCGCTAATAAGTGTATTTTTGCTCCGCGTCCCGCCATTTTCTTTATTAAATCTCGCCCCGCGCCCCGTAGTTTCCTAACCATCGTACCCGGAGAGTTACTCCTGTACTAGACTACCTTCCTCCGCGCTAAACTACCAAAGCATCTCATTGGGATCGAACCCATACAGTATGGTGGCTGATTTGTGCCATTCGGTTTTCGCCTAGCGACCCCCAAGCGATAAGTCGAGAAAAAACAAGTTAAAATGGCAGGGGCGTGGAGGGAAAAGTCGCTAGTAACGAGTGCCAGGCGAAGTTTGATAAAAAAATATCGTTTTGAACGCGGAGCGAAACACGCTAATTAGCGCCCTCGCTCAATAGCGTGTTTTTGCTCTGCAACTCCGCCCATTTAGCTTGTTAATTGTTGACTTTTCCCTTGGCGGGGTTGCAGGGCAAAAAAACACGCTACTTAGCGGGGCGCGGGTCGAAATTTTATTTTTAAACTTCGTCCCGCGCCCTCGCTAATAAGTGTATTTTGCTCCGCGTCCCGCCGTTTCCTTTTCTTAAATCTCGCCCCGCGCCCCGGCGGGGCGACGTTTTATTTATTAAACATCATCCCGTGCCGACGCTTATAAGCGTGTTTTCGCTTCACGCCCCCGCCATTTAGCTTGTTAATTTCGTCTTTTCGCTTAGCCGGGTCGCGGAGGCAAAAACACGGTAATAACCGGAGGCGCGGGGCGAAATTTTATTGAAGAAACTTTGTCCTGCACCGCCGCTAACTAGCGTGCTTTCGCTCCGCAACCCGCCGTTTCATTTCTAAAATATCGCCCGCGACTCCGTCGGGGCAAAGTTTTATTCATTTAACTTCGCCCCGCGCCCTCGCTAATGAGCGACTTTGCGCTCCGCCCCCCCCCCCTGCCAACTTGTTAATTCTCGATTTTTAGCTTGGCGGGGTCGCCGGGCGAAAAACATGAAGGGCCAAAATCAGCCACAACATTAAAGGTTATATTTAAATGAAAGAATTATATTACTTGCTGTTCTAAATTCTTGGGTATGAACATTGAAAGTTTCATATTTCAGGCATTTGAAACGCATTTAAGCAATAAAATATTTCTAATTATCCTTACTTTAAAGGAAAGGCCCGGAAGGTTTTGACTTACTTATCAACAAATTATACGTGCATAAGATAATATTCGACAAAAACATTGTGCAAAATTTTAGGAGGTAAATTTGTACTATCACAGATAATCAGCAGCTCCTTAATGACAAATACATATGTTCGTGTTGTTGTTGCTTGGATGTACTTTATATAAGTAAAATGAATATTCGTTCAAGATACCGCCTTTTTCAGAAATTTTACCTAGTAAAACTAAACTAGTGAATTACGAAACGTTACTTATGTAGTTAATGACAAGAAAGTGATTAATATAATCCAATTTCTTTTTAAAACAACCATTTTTTTCATAAAATTACACTAGTAAAATTGATCCAGAAAATAGAGCAGAAGATATTGACATTTTAATGAAGGTCGAAACGACTCGTTTTACCATTGATCTGAATAGAATTAGTTTATGTAACAAACAATGATGAAAACACACTTCTAGTATAAAATTTTGGCATTCGTATTCAATTTGAAAAATTAACATTCTAAGATCACTTACGATGTTTGCATATTTCGGTTGCATCTTCAGCTTTAAAACTGGTCTCCGGAATTCCTAAAATAATTATAAAACAAGTTGTGAAATGTCTTAAATGTCTGTCAAACACACTTATACATGTACATATTTATTATTGTGTTTGCTTATATGTGTAAAGATTATTTGACTTTGAAGAAAGCATGTGTTTGTTTGTTTGTATCATTTTACGCTTTTTCCCAACAGTCATATAGGCAGGTAGTTTCCTAACCATCGTTCCCGGAGAGTTACACCAGTACTATACTACCCTCCTCCGCGCTAAACTACCAAAGCATCTCCTTGGGATCGAACCCATACAGTATGGTGGCTGATTTGTGCCATTCGGTTTTCGCCTAGCGATCCCCCAAGCGATAAGTCGAGAAATAACAAGTTAAAATGGCAGGGGCGTGGAGGGAAAAGTCGCTAGTAACGAGTGCCAGGCGAAGTTTGATAAATATAACGGTGGGAACGCGGAGCGAAAACACGCTAATTAGCGCCCTCGCTAAATAGCGTGTTTTCGCTCTGCAACTCCGCCATTTTAACTTGTTAATTGTCGACTTTTCCCTTGGCGGGGTTGCGGGGCAAAAACACGCTACTAAGCGGGGGCGCGGGTCGAAATTTTATTATTAAACTTCGTCCCGCGCCCTCGCTAATAACTGTATTTTTGCTCCGCGTCCCGCCGTTTTCTTTTTTAAATCTAACCCGCGCCCCGGCGGGGCGACGTTTTATTTATTAAACATCATCTCGTGCCGACGCTTATAAGCGTGTTTTCGCTTCACACCCCCGCCATTTAGCTTGCTAATTTCGTCTTTTCGCTTAGCCGGGTCGCGGAGGCGAAAACACGCTAATAAGCGGGGCCGCAGGGCGAAGTTTTATTTATTAAACTTCGTCCCGCGCCGCCGCTAATTAGCGTGTTTTCGCTCCGCAACCCGCCGTTTCATTTCTAAAATATCGCCCTGCGACCCCGTCGGGGCAAAGTTTTATTTATTAAACTTCGCCCCGCGCCCTCGCTAATGAGCGACTTTGCGCTCCGCCCTCCCCCCCTGCCAACTTGTTAATTCTCGATTTTTCGCTTGGCGGGGTCGCCGGGCGAAAACATGAAGATAATATTCGACAAAAACATTGTGCAAAATTTTAGGAGGTAAATTTGTACTATCACAGATAAACAGCAGCTGCTTAATGACAAATACATATGTTCGTGTTGTTGTTGTTTGGATGTACTTTATAAAAATGAAAGAAATATTCGTTCAAGATACCGCCTATTTTAGAAATTTTACCTAGTAAAACAAAACTAGTGAGTTACGAAAGTTACTTATGTAGTAAATGACAAGAAAGTGATTAATATAATCAAATTTCTTTTTAAAACAACCATTTTTTTCATAATATTACACCAGTGAAATTGATCCAGAAAATAGAGCAGAAGATATTGACATTTTAATGAAGGTCGTAACGACTCGTTTTACCATTGACCTAAATAGAATTAGTTTATGTAATAAACAATGAAACAACAAAAACACACTTCTAGTATAACATTTTGACATTCGTATTCAATATGAAATATTAACATTCTAAGATCACTTACGATGTTTGTATATTTCGGTTGCATCTTCAGGTTTTAAACTGGTCTCCAGACTCACTAAAATAATTATAAAACAAGTTGTTAAATGTCTTAAATGTCTGTCAAACACACTAAAACATGTACATATTTATTATTGTGTTTGCTTATATGTGTAAAGATTATTAGACTTTGAGGAAACCATGTGTTTGAAGAAATGATCAGAAAGAATGAAAACTTTTGCTTCGGTATTCGACGTGAGTTGACAATAAAGCTGTTAGGTATTATTTTTCTTAAATCATATTAACATCCTGAAAATCATTGCATTATATGTATAATTTCCGAATTAATGCGACTATATAGAAAACGGTGATGTCCAATAAGTTCGCGTTGTTGTTGCATGGCCGAATTTTTACAGGTATAAAATGAATACTCATGCAATATACTGTCTAAATTAGAAATTTTACCGTTAAAACTAAAATAGCGAATTAAGAAACGTTACTTATTATTTCGATACCTGCTAAGATCCAGGTGTGTCGAGAAAATATACTTTAGAAATTCAAATTCTTCTTTGGAAACATCTATGTGTCCTCATTTAACACCAGTATAAATGATCAAGGAAACGGAAACAAAGTAACTGATATTTCGAATGAAAGTCCTACAGACTCGTTTTACCATCGATCTGAATAACACCAGTTTATGTAACCAACAACGACTGCGTAAAACACATATTTATCGTAACATTGTGACATTCTTATTTAAAAGTTAACATTCTAAGATCACTTACGACGTTTGAATGTCTCGGTTGCACCTTCAACTTTGTTGCTGATCCAAAAACTCCCTAAAATAAATATTTAACATGTTGTTAAATGTCTGTCAAACACACTTATACATATCTTAAATTTTGTTGGTTATATGTGTAAAGATTATTTGACTTAAATTTAGAAAGCATGTGTTTGAGGGGTGATCAGAAAACCTTTGCTGGAACTGCAACTTTTTTTAAAGTGAAATGACTATCAAACTTAGCGGGTTGTTTTATCGTGAAACTAAGTAAGCATCCTGAAAATTATTACATTTATTCATATGTATAATATTCGAATGTATGCGAATATGTACAAGACGAATATGTCTAATATGTTCGTGTTGTTGTTGCTTGGGTGGATTGACTTTAAACGGGTAGAAAATAAATATTTATTCCAGATACCGTCGAAATTAGAAATTTTACCTAGTAAAACTTAACTCGCGAATAACGAAACGTTACTCTTTATTTCTGTACCTGCTAAGATGTAGTAAACGACAAGAAAGTACAAATTAAAACAAGAGGACCATGATAGCCCTGAAGTAGCTCACCTGTATATAGGCCCCCAGAGCGGGGCAAGTTTAAACCCCAGGGCTTTTATTTGAACAAACTTGGTAGACACCCATTAGAAGATGTTTGATGCTAAACATCTAAGGTCTAGCTGGTTGGGGTTTTTTAAAAGAAGATTTTTAAAGTTTTATATTTATACATATAGTTAAAAACAATGACACCCCTGAGGCAGGGCCAGTTTTGACCCCTGGGCTTACTTGAACAATCTTTGTAGACACTCACTAGAAAATGTTTCATGCTTAATATCTAAACTCTAGCTATTTGTGTTTTTTCAAAGAAGATTCTAAGTTTTTGCTATATACATATAAGGAAAATCAGTGTCCCCCGGGGCGGGGCCAATTTTGACCCCAGGGCTTTTATTTGAACAAACTTTGTAGACACTCACTAGAAGATGCTTCATGCTTAATATCTAAACTCTAGGTATTTGAGTTTTTTCAAAGAAGATTTTTTAAGTTTTTGCTATACACATATAAGGAAAATAAATGACCCCCGGGGCGGGGCCAATTTTGACCCCAGGGCTTTTATTTGAACAATCTTTGAAGACACTCACTAGAACACGTTCATGCTTAGTATCTAAACTCTAGCTATTTGTTTTTGTTTTTTCAAAGAAGATTTTTTAAGTTTACATAAGGAAAATCAAAGACCCCCGGGGCTAGACCAATTTTGACCCCAGGGCTCTTATTTGAACAAATTTGGAAGACACCCATTAGAACATGTTTCATGCTAAATATCTTAGCTCTAGCTCTTACGGTTCTTTAAAAGAAGATTTTTTCAGTTTTTCACTATATGCATATAGGGAAAATCCATGACCCCCTTGGGGCGGGGCCAATTTTGACCCCAGGGCTTTTATTTAAACAAACTTGGTAGACACCCATTAAAAGATGTTTTGAGTTAAATATCTTAGCTCTAGCTCTTTGGGTCCTTTAAAAGAAGATTTTTAAGTTTTTACTATATGCATATAGGGAAAATCAATGACCCCCTGGGGCGGGGCCAATTTTGACCCCAGGGGTTTTATTTGAACAAACTTTGTAGACACTCACTAGAAGATGCTTCATGCTTAATATCTTAACTCTAGGTATTTGAGTTTTTTCAAAAAAGATTTTTTAAGGTTTTGCTATACACATATAAGGAAAATAAATGACCCCCGGGGCGGGGCCAATTTTGACACCAGGGCCTTTATTTGAACAAACCTGGTAGACACTCTCTAGAAGATGTTTCATGCCAAATATCTAAGCTCTAGCTCTTTGGGTTTTTTTAAAAGAAGATTTTTAAGTTTTTACTTTATGCATATAGAGAAAATCAATGACCCCCTGGGGCGGGGCCAGTTTTGACCCCAGGGCTTTTATTTGAACAAACTTGGTAGACACCCATTAGAAGATGCTTCGAGTTAAATATCTTAGCTCTAGCTTCTAGCTCTATAGGTTTTTTAAAGAAGATATTTATTTTTTTTTCTTTTGGTTGCCATGGCAACCAGAGTTCTGCATGGAATGGAATTCTTTGAACAACTTTGTTAAGGCTTCACACTTGGAACATCTCTATGAAGTTTCATTATGATCTGCCTTATGGTTTCAGAGGAGATGTTTTAAAAGTGTGAACGGACAACGGACGACGTACGACGGACGACGGACGAAGAGTGATTCTAATAGCTCACCCTGAGCATATGCTCAGATGAGCTAAAAAAATAAATATTCATTTTCCTCATATTACCAGTATAGATGAACCAAAATAATTGGCATTTCGAAAGGAAGTCGAAAGGTCTCGTTTAACCATCAATCTAAATTAAATAAGTTTGTGTAACAAACAACAACAGCGTAAAACACACTTTCATTACAAAATTGACATTCGTATTTAAAAGTTAACATTCTAAAATCACTAACATAGTTTATTCATTTTGGCTGCATCTTCAGCGTTGTTAAATGACTTCAGACACCCTAAAAATACACAAAAACGTGTTGGTGAATGTCACAAAATGTTTGTTAAATACACAAATACTTCTTGTACAGTTTAACTGATCTATGTTAATTATTGTTTTTTGCTGAAATAAGTAAAACATTATTTGACATAAACTTTCAAAACACGTGTTTGAGGGATAATCATGAAATATGAAGACTTTTGCTGGAACTGTAAAATCTGTATTTGATGTTAGAAGACTATCAAAGTTAAGTAGATTGTAGTTATCGTTAAATCAAGTTAGCATCCTGAATGTTATTGCATAATATTTATAATTTTCGAATTTATGCTACTATAACCAAGGCGGAGATGTCCAAAATGTTTGTGTTGTTGTTGCCTTAGTGCATTTTATGTAGGTATAAAAAGAATATTTATTCCAGGCACCGTCTAAATAAGAATTTTTACCTAGTTAAACTAAAGTAGCGAATTACGAAACGTTTTTAATATCATTTCTGTTTAGATGTAGTAAATGTAATAAAGGTAACATTAAAACTCTTTTTTGGGAAACAACCATTTTTCCTTTTATGACACCAATATAAATGATCCAGGAAACGGAACCGAAGAATTGGAATGCATTGTTTGCTTTCTAAACTATTGCGTATGAACATTGCATTTTTCTTATTTTAAAATATTTCTGGGATTTAAATCGTTTATCAACAAATAAAATTGGTGTGTGGATGACCTTGAAACAACCTTTCGGGACACATCGATGATTTCAAATTACCCTTAGATTGCACGAAACGTTCGACAAATTTTGACTTACTCTGAAACAAATTATGCAAGCACAATATAATATTGATACCAATATTTACTTATTGTTTTCTTTAGCCAAAATGTCTGAGGTGCATAATACGAAATTGTTTAATAAATGGAAAGTTTAACATTGTCATTAACATATTGTTTAATCTGAAAGATATATTTTACTGCATAAAAACAGTTCAAATTATTAGCTCGCCACCTTGTTTTGATATCATAACTCAACCAACTTGCTGCAAACACATTGTGCAAAATATGAGGAGGAAAATTTGAATATCACAGATAAACATCACCTTCTTATTGACCAAAGCAAATGCAATATGTTCGTGTTGTTGTAACTTGGGTGGACTTTATACAGGTATAAAAGGAATATTTATTCAAGTTTAGAAAAATTAAAACTAAACTTGAATTATGAAAATTTCCATATTATTTCTAAACCTGTTGATATAGTAAATAACAAGAACGTAAACATTAAAAGAAATTCGATACTTGTTATGAAACCACCATATTTTCTCATATAACACCATTATAAATGATCCAGGAAATGGAACTGAGGTAATTGAAATTTTGAAAGTAAGTTAAAAAGACTCATTTAACCACTAATCTAAATTAATGTGTTCACGTAACAGTGTCAGCAATTTAATACTTTATAAACCAACTTTCATAGTTAATTTTGATATTCCTGTCTAAAAGTTAGCAGTCTAAGATCACTTACGAGGGTCGTTTTTTTCGACTGCATCTTTATCAATGGAACATGACCACGGAATCTCAAAAATATATATTAAACATGTTGTATTGATCGTCAAATCAAGTTAACATTCTGACAATTATTGCTCTTTTATATGTATAATAACCGACGTTTTGCGACTAAATAAAAGATGGACATGTCCAGTATTTTCATGTTGTCGTTGCTTGGATGGATTAATACAGGTACAAAAGGAATGTTTATTCAAGCTACCGTCTAATAAAGAAATTGTACCTAGTAAAACTAAACTAGCGAATTACAAAACGTTACGTGTTATTTTTCTATACCTGCTAAGATGTAGTAAATGACAAGAAAGTAAACATTAAAAACATCCAATTTTATCTTGGAAACAACCATTTTTCCTCATATGACATCAGTATAATTGATCCAGGAAACGGAACCAAAATAATTGACATTCGAATGGAATTCGAAAGAACTCGCTTTACTCGATCTGAATTACATTAGTTTATGTAACAAACAACGACAGCGTCAGCAAATCAATGAAACAAACTTTCATACTTATTCGCAGACATGCAATAAAGAATAAAGATTATTAAACAAGTGCCAAGTTAACACGGCCGTCCCCCGCCGAAAGTGTTTGCTCATTGGAAGGATGTATATGTAGTAGAGAAGAATTATCAATTTTAAGACGTCTTTTGGTAATGAAAACTGATGGCTGAAGTGATTTCAGATTTGACACCTATGTGAATACTGATGGCTGAAAATAACAAAGGGCAATAACTGAAAAATGATGCACGGTAGCATTCTTATGCACTTCATACCTCATCAATGAGATCTATCCACCTATGAAGTTTCAAGTTGATACCTGTAATAATTTTTGAGATAAGCCCCGGACAAAAAGAATGAAACGGAATTAAGGGCAATAACTGAACAGTTGTAAAAGGTAGAGTTATCAGTCTTCTGCACAGCATTCCTCCTAAAGAATATTTATCCACCCATGAAGTTTCAAAGACTTTTTGAGTTATGCTCCACTCAGATGAAAAATTAACTATGAAAA